GGGGGGAGGGCAGAGGGGTGGGAGGGAGCAGGGACTGGTCCCGCACTGGGATGTGCAGGGGGAGAGCGATGCGGCCCCTCCCCGCGATCGCAGCACGAGGAGGTGCTGGAGAAGGGGTCCCCAGGGAGCCCACCAGCCCAACACCCCTCCCCAGCCCGGTGGCCTCGCCCTCCTTCTTACAGAAGGGCCAGCTAAGCTGCTTGGGGTGACGTCCAGCCCTGAGCTCCTCAGCTCCACCGCCTTATCCCCCCGCTGGGAGGCTTCCCCCAAATCTCCTTTGCTGCCATAAGCCTCAGCTACTACTTGCTATTTGCAAATGAGGCTCTGTCCTCGCTGCCCATCACCCACCTGAGCGTCCTCCACCCACCCCTTGAAAAGCAGGGACACCCCCCCACCCTGCAGAGCTCAGTGTCCATCTGCATCAACGTTCCTCTGTGGGAATCATCCCAGCACGGCCTGAGCTGCTGGGAGGGACCCCCACCCCCTCCGGGCCACCCTCGGGGGTCCTGCCCCTCTCCACAACTGGCCAGGAGTGAACTCTGAGGAGCCCAGGAGCCTCCTCCATCCCCGTGGCTTCAGGAGGTCACCACAGAGGTGCTACCCCTGTGCCCTGGCAGGGGGACAGGCCCTCAGATGGCCCAGCTGTGGCAAGGAGGGATCACAGGCAGCAAGACCTGCTGCTCCTGCTGTGCCTTGATAAGGCTGCAGGAGGGGAAACGTCTCCTGATGCTGGACCGAGGGGCTGCAGCATCAGGCTGATCTCTGCTGATCCACACCCTAAAGGCAGCTCATTCCTTGCCCTTGTTTCTTCCACGAGGGCACCTCACAGCTCCCAGAGCCCCCAGAGGATGCAGTCCTGGGGAGCATCTTCCCCTTCCCTCTGCCCACACACCCTGTCCTGCACAATAAAAGGCTCTGTCTCCTCCCCCCGCTGCTCTCACCACCCCAGGCATCGCTGCACCCAACCCCCCTCCATCCTGGCTGGCACAACAAGCCCGGGGGGCTCAGCCCTCCCTGCCTCAGGGGACAATTCCCCTTTTCCCACGGCCTCTGGTGTCCAAGCACTGCCACGACCTGCAGGTCACAGGACGAGGGGAGGGAGGACCACACAGTGGCTGCCTTGGGGACAGATCCTGGCCCTGCACAGGGAGAACCAGGATGAGGAGGGGGCTTGTCCGGCTGCTCCTGCCCAGCTCTGTGCCTGGGTTGTCCCATCAGATCCAACTCTCCTCCCAGTCTTCCCTCTGGGCACCATCCTGCTCCCATCACCTCAGCATCCCTCCAGGCTGCTGGGTCCTTGTCCTGCTGTGGGACCCTGGCAGCACTTTTATGGACACCCCACTGGTCTTGCCCCTCACAGGTGACCCAAAAAAAAGACCTCCTGGCCAGAGGGGACAGTCCCCACGTGTGGCTCAGCCCCACACCGAGCTGGGGAGGTGGGAACAAGGCTGTAGGGTGGATGCTCATGGCTCTGCTTCCTATGTTCCCCCTGCCCCCATTCCAGCTCCTGTCCCCATCCTGAGGGACCTGAGGCACAACAGAGCTCTGGGCCACCCAGTGCCCCCATCCCCCTGCCCCTCTGCTCCAGCTCACCCCCTCAACTTTCCCTGCCCGGTCCAGGCACGAATCCCACGGGGACACCTCAGAGTCCCTCTCACGACACTGCCTGGGAGCCCTGACATTTTAACCCCCCAACCTGGGAGGTGGCTGGGCCGGGAGGGGGTGGGGCAGCAGCAGGAGGGGCAGCAGGAGGGGCAGCGCCACCTCCCCCC